TTATTCTAGTAAATTTTTTGCCAGTTTGCTTATGGAGGAGATAGTCAGAGGTCCTCACTCAACCACTTTCACTGGGATCCCAGAACAGACATTGAGAGATCATTTTCTCCCCAACCTATTGATTCTGCAAGTGTATCAATGCTTTCAGGTTGATGGGTGCAGATCTCTCTGGTGACTCAGGACAGGTTCCCTGAGATGTGAGGGAGAGAACTCCCTCAAATTTCCAGGGGGAAAACAGGGCAGGGAATATTATGGAGAGATTGTGATTCAAACCCTAGCAGACTGGGCCAATTATCTAAATGCCATGCTAACAGCCTTTCTTCTCCCAAGTTAGCAGGCAAAGCTTTGGAGCTCAGATGCCTGGACACAAAACAGGGACCTCTAGGAGGCAGAAAACAGCCCTGAGTCTAATTTTTGGAGCTCCTGCCATTTGTAGGAAAAATAATGGGAAAGGGATACTGAGGGCTGTTTTTGTAGGGAAGCTAATAGCACTATATTTCTCAGGCCCTCTTTTACATCAGCTTCGAGAATTGCCTACTATTTTCTCAAGCACTGAACTAAAACTCTAAATGTTACCCTAACATTCAAAGATGAGAGCTGCCAATTAGAATTCATAAAGCTATGAATATGGAAAACAGATTATAGATTACAAAATTCACTTAAGATCAAAACCAAACAGAAATCACTCCAACCATTTGTATTATTTTTACACATATCTGAGCATGTACCTGGAGTTCTGTGTACATGAAATAATAATAAATGAAGAAGTTATAAGTCAGCACTAGTATGAGTGGTAAGCATAAGAAAACTAAGCAATTTTTGCAAACATCTTTTAAGAAACTATACAGAACATTTCCTGTTTAGTGCTATGGTAACAACTGTCCCCTGAGCCACCTACTTCATGCTTGACAATGAACGTGCTGAGCAGCACATGGTGAGCACCTCAACCTGCACAGCAGCAGCTGCAGGTGCTACAGGGAGAGAAGGTATTTCTGTTTTGAATGCCTTTCAGAATGACAGATTAGTGAGCTCCAACCAGGAAAGCAAAATCTGAACTTTTAACTCAAGAAAGCAAGGCCAGCAAAGAAAACCCAAGGAGTGGCTCTCTTGGATCTAAGAAATGACAGATACACAGTAGTTTCTCTGGCCAAGTCAATGGTCATTGCCTGAATTACAAATAATGTTCATTAAAGTTCTGGTTAGAGTCATGTTTTGCTGTCCTTCAACTACTACTCATTGTAAGAGAGTAAAAAAAAAACAGAAAATGATGATGATGATGAAGGCTACTGTAATTTTGAGCTACTCCCTCATGTTTAGGAATAGAAAGCAGTACCTCTAAAAAGATAACAACAACAGGTAATAAAAATAGTTAAGTGCTAACTTCGTGTATCTATGATAATTCTGGGAGTATAGGAGACTGCTACTCATGAGCAAAAGGTATATTTCAGTGATGCCTTGAGGTAAATATGATCACCCATATATGTCTTAATAACATGTACATATTTCTAGACATTTAGACATATTCTAGTATGAGGGTTGTGTACATGTCTGTTCTCTTCTTCTGAGTTATTATCCACAGACTGGATACCACTGCAGAACCTTGAATAAATGTTTCCTGAACTGACCTCACAAGGCTTTCCGAGAGTTTGGCAAAAAGGTTCTTCAAAAGCCTTCTATGGAGCTTCCATGCAAACATTTGTGAGATTCATAATATCTAGGTCCTAATGTCAACAACAAAAAGAAAAGGCATATTTTTTCTCTTGCAGAAAGTATTTTCAAATAGTCTATCACACTATTCAGATATCAAACTAATATCTACCTATAAATAAAGAATGATATACACCTATAAAGGAATGAGAACGCCCTTGGACGCTGATGTAAGGGCTCAGCCCAACTGGAACACAATGCCAATGGAGTATGTCACATAATTTGGCAGAATCATACCAGTCTTTTATGGTTCCAAGGTCTGGGCTAACAGAACTTTAACCAAGATTTGAGGTTTTAGGTTTCCTCTCTCTTATCCTTCAGACATGACATCACTTGGGCATATTTTTTTCTATCAATTAAACTTCATAAAATATATGATGCTTAAAAAAAGGAGCCAAGTATTTTTCTGTTTCTACAGCCAAAAGAAACAGAGCTGAAATAGTCAAATCCAGAGAGTTCAAAGTAGAGGCACAGGGAGACAGAGAAAGAGAAAGACAAGTAAACAAAATTCCCAATGAACTTTTAAATCAGGTATTCAAATTTTCTGCCTGTCTCTATTTCCCATTAGAGGACAAGATAACAGCTAGAACAGAGCCCACAATCGGAAGGTCTCAGTACGGGCTTTTTGAATGGAGTAAGTGAAAGAACAGGCTGCTGACTCAAAATATAAATGGAGAGCCATTATTTGAATTTTCTGACTTTTCATTACATTCCCTTTGTCAAAAGCATTCGCTTTTGGGTGGCTAATTAATCAGGATATGTCCCTGTGTGAGAAGTACTCAAGGAAACCATTTCACTCCTTTGACCTTTAAATAGAAATATTTCTATCTTTATCCCAAATTACCCCTTCTTTTCATAAACCTTCAATAAATCATTGCCAATGAGCTACAATGATAACCTCATAACCTGGTCTTCAAAATAGTATATCACTGGCTCTAAAGTACTTCCAGCCAGACTCATCTGTTCATTATTTCCTACAAGAACCATCCAGTCTGTACCACCTAACCAGTTCTCAGACCACTCTCTCCTGACTTCTCCCTTTGCCCATCCATTCCTCCAAGTCTCACTCATTATTGTTTTACTTCTACACCAAGTCTCATGAATCTCCCCCTTGGTTCTATGGTTCACTCTAGCCTCTAAATTTCCATGTCATTAGTTCTGGTTATATCACATGGCATTTACCATATATGCTATCAGACACATGCATGAGCACAAACATATATACACTAATAAGTTTCTTATCAGTCATAAATCACATATAAATACATTATTTACTATGTCCTTCTGTATCCTCCACACTTGGCAAGGCACCCTTCACATACTCAGTACATAATAAATCTTGCCTATGAAGGTACTACACCACAGCTATAGGAATTTGCTGAGTCCTCTTCACGTTTTCTTCAATCCTATCTAGTACAAGGACAACTTATTTCAAATCTTGCCTCTTTCACTTACTGTATGATCTCAGGCAAGTTGCTTAATCACTATAGGCCTCAGTTTCCTCAAAGGGATAATTACAGTAGCTATACTTTTAAGCCGGGCACAGTGGCTCATGCCTGTAATCCCAGCTGCTAGGGAGGCAGCTTGGAGGTGGGAGGGTCCCTTGAGCCCAGGAGTTTGTGGCTGCAGTGACCTATGATTATACCACTCCACTCCAGCCTAGTCAACAGAGCAAGATCCCATCTCTTGAAATAAAAAAATAATTAAAAATAAAAAATAGCCCCAAAATACTTCTAAAAGCTACTTCTGTGGAAAACATTGCCAGGAATGCAATCATCACAGAATTAAAAGGTATAAACAAGGACTTAAATTTGAACTCTTCATCTCGTCCCATAAATCCACTAAGCATATATAGGTGGTAAATATTCAGATGAGGACTATTCATAAAATGCCATTCTACTAAAATAATAATTTTAGGAAAAACAGTGAAACTCTTGTTCCAAGGAGTTTAGGAAAAAACATGAATAGTAGTTAGCTATTGAAGGCAGCATGGACCTTGGCTTCTTCCCCACAGTGGAAAGGTCAGCTAGGATGACCTCCAAGGCCTTTCAAGCTCTCTCTGTCCATGACCCTGTCTCTTCATTCGACAGCTCTCTACCTCAATCCCAAAGCCTGTCCCTGAAAAAACTGGTCCTTCTCTTTCCCAAACATGCCCGACCTTTGACATAAGGTTGTGTTCATCTCACGTTCTTTCCCTTCACCTCCACCCGAAGCAGCCCTCCCTCACCCTGAAGACCAACTCTGGCCATCACCCAAAGTCCCCATTTAAAACCTGTCCCTTCCTCCACACTCTAAGTTAGTACTCCACCCTTTTCTTTAAAAACACAGAGCACTTATTTATGGTCTATGTCACTTCTTATTCAAATCTAATGGCATAAATCTTGACCTTCTTAAAATTTAAAAATTACTTTCTCTTGCATCTGAAATAATGCAGGCTTTGTCTTCATAGATCTAATGTGCACATATGTGTCTATATCGCACCATTGAATTTGGCTAGATCTGTAGCCACACTGACAGAAACCTGACTTAGCTGAAGGCACACCAGGCTTTAAGTTTATGAAACAGTACAAACTAGGTTTCTTCTGTTATCAGTATCAGCATTTTTCCCTCTGGCCAAGCTGACAAATGTACGGCAATATAGAATCCAATAGCTGATAGAACTCAAGGTGTGTGTCATGTTATAAAATGCTTAGTAATCATTTTAAATAGTCAAAAAATAAAGTTTGAACGCAAGAAGGAGAGTCTGTCAACATTAGAATTTTGTTCAAAAACCTTGTATTTTAGGACAGAGTGTTTTTCCTTTTTTCTTTAATCAAGCCCCATCTATAAAGTGTTTTAAATTTTCTGAAATCTCATTTCTTCTTCTGAGCATAACCAATCCTTTTTGCCAAGTGACACTTGATAAGATTGCTGTATCTATGTTATTATCTGGAGATTAGGAAGAGGGAACTAAAATCTGCATTGGGATATAGAAGAGATATACTAATTAAACAAAGCTACCAGAGTAAGTCTTCTTTATACAGCATGAACTAATATCCTTTTTCTCTTTCCATAAAAAGCCCCAGTAATATTAATAAAAATGCAATATACCTTAAAGGTTCAAATTCTTAAAATGAGGAATCATAATATGATAACAGAGTGTATCGAAGTTTAAAAGGCAGTGGGTTTTATTCCAGTGCAGTGTGCTGGCGCTAAGCCATGAGGTTATCATATTATAACATGGAGAGCAGTCGTGGTGCCCTGCTACCATGCCCTGTGAGCTCTCTTGGGTGCTATTGTCACCCGTGACTTACGAGATTTTCCGGTTTGAAGCCTCATCATCAGTGTGTAAACTGAAGCTGCTCCAGAGGCAACAGGGGGAGAAGCAGCTCTGGTGGCATTTGAACTGAAGATACTCAGGCAGAGAAACCAATCTGGTAGTGGCATGAGAGATGAGTGGAACCGGAGGAAGAGGAGACAGCAGGACGAGAAAGAACAAAGTGGAGGAGAAGATGATCAGAAATGAGGTGGCAGAATGAAAAAGGACAACAAAAAGAAAGCCAAGAAGTAAAAGTAGTACAGGGAACAGAGAAAGAAAGGAGAAGAGGAGGAGGAGGAAGAGGAGGAGGAGGAGGAGGAGGAGGAAGAGAAAAAACATGTAAACAATCTTTGGGTATATGAAAAGCAACATGTACCACATGCCTGTACTTCTGATTGCCGTTTCCATAAGTCACAGATGCTTTCCAATGACCAAATACAGAACTAGAATCCAGGCACAAATCCATGAACCACAAGAGGTGGAATATCATTGATATACACTGGTTAAAAACAAAAACAAAAATCTAAGCTTCACGTCATTAAGTGGCATGAAAGTTACTGTCATGTTGGCTTTCTTGAGTTACTAGAAACCATAAAGCAGAGTCAAAGGAAATTCAAATGTTACGCTCCTCCGCTTGAAATTGTTTGAACACAAAACAGGAGAATGTGATGTTGGTTTCTTAGCTGGTCATCTTCGAGAACACCTGCCAACCAGAAATGTCATATAGTTCCTGTGTGTTTCCAGATAGCATTTCCACTATATCATCTCAAGACTTTGGGTCTGTCTTTCCAAATTTGAAATTAATTCTAGCAGAATCCACCTTGAGCCAACTGTGAAGCAGATCGCAGGCTGGCCTTTGATGTTCCTGTACCCCCTGCCTTCCAACACCCAGGACTACACCCTTGGACCTGGGAAGTTTCCCATATTTTCCTGATTCTTCCACTCTACTGGAAACAACGTGCTCTCAAGAAACAGTCTTCAATACTTAAAAAAAAATAGACATAATGAATTATTAATCAGAAAAATGAATCCTTGTTAAAGTGGTAGCTGGCCAATATATGACACTTATTAAGTATCTAACAATGGAAAACCAAATCAAAATGTACTTTGTAAATTAAGTCCCTTACATATAATTATACCTAACCTAGTGGTGAGAATTTCTATTCCATTACCAAGATGGTCAGGGAATTCTTCCGGTACAATTGGTCTTTTAACTTCCAAATCAGCCCATATGCTCCCCTCCCCACATGTGAAGTTGATGCAGATTAGCAGGTTACACAACCCTTTGTGTATTGCAAATACCATGAGGTGAATTGAAATAATGCTCTTCATTTTTATTGAATCAATTTATTATAAACCTATTAACATTTTTGGCATTTCTAAACCAGGAAAATCTTTATGATTTGTTGGAGGTATCATATTCAAACATCAAATCCTTCAGCAGAACTGAACTTCATTATAGAAAATTGTTTAACCTTCCATGATCAAAACCCAAAACAATTAAAAGGCAGCCAAATACAAAAGGTCTGAAAGGCACGTATTCACTGATTGCAATCTGACACATGGACTCTACTACAATAACCTAATCCCCATGATGATCCTAAACACTCAGAGAAATAACATCCCCTTGCCAGATCATGCCTGAAATAAGTGAGACAAATTTTGCAAGCTACAAAGGGTAAGAAACATTTGGGAATGGGGACCTTATTAATAATATTTTACATTAAACTCATGGACCATAGAAACCTTTATACATTTGCTTTAGATGATATCTCTATCTTGACAGGTGGGGGTTTTGATTTATGCAGCTAAGTGCAATTAACTATAAGGGCAGTGTCTGGCAAATGATAGAAGCTCAAAAATATTTTTCAATAGGAGTGAAATGGGTGCACTTTGCTCATCTGCAGTTACCCATGAGGCAGTGGTTCCATTAGGTCTGCTGGGAACAGGACTTCTAAAAGGCAGGCATGTCTGGAAGGCTGTGGTCCAAGGCCATTTTTGCTGGCTATAAGCAGAGTCTCTGGAACCAAAGAGAGCACACAGCTCCTCTTAAAATTGAAGGCATTTACGCCCAAGATGAAACTGAATTTTATTTGGGCAAGAGATGTGCTTATGTATACAAAGCAAAGAACAACACAGGGACTCCTGGTGGCAAACTAAGCAAAACCAGAGTAATCTGGGGAAAGGTAACTCAGGCCCACAGAAACAGTGGCACAGCTTGGGCCAAATTCCAGAGCAACCTTCCTGCGAAGGCCACTGGACACAGAATCTGTGTGATGCTGTACCCCTCAAGGATTTAAACTCATGAAAAGTAAATAAATAAAAGTGGATTTATGCTCTTCAAAAAAATATATTTTTCAATGAGTGAATGGTTGTAGGTTTGAGTGAATGAACGGCCTCAGCACTATGACACCCATTACTGGAATAGGTGGCCAGCACCAGTCCTCCCTTGGCATGGTAGTATTTCAGCCAGGTGAGATTAGAGATGGAATCCTTAGGAGGAAATGTGAGGTTGGCAATTGAAACACAAATAAGCCAAGGATCACTGCTCAAAGGCATCTCATTAGTAAAGATGATCACTACAGCATTCTGCACCTATGACTAAGAAAACACCCACAGAGCACACACCTGAGCTGCCACCAGGGTAAGGGAAGGGAGCACAAGGCAGGGCCCCCAGAACCTCAGATCTCACCGTGCTGCCCCTACCCTGGAAGCAGCATCTACATCAAGATGTCGACATCGCCCTACTTTCCAAAACTTATCTGCCAACAAGACTACCCTCTTATATCATCTGGCAGCAGAATTCTCTCGACTTTCTGTGCTGAATCAAAGTATGGTGTTTCCAGAAAGTGACTTAAAGCTATAGAAGATTACCCAAGGGAAGATCCCAGGAACTCCTGGGACATAAACCCTCATTTAGAGTCACTGGAAAAGAGGCAAGACATGGTGATGCCCTGTCCAGGTATCACCAAAAGAAGCGAGGGACCCTCCGTCCCAGCGCATCCGACCAAAGTTGCCTCCTGACTGAAGGAACTTACCGCAGGGCGGAAGGTCTCCCGGAGCGGGAGGCACTGTTGCCCACAGGTGAGGGCAGGTTGCTCCCTCTGTGCAGGTCCTCGATAGACCTACTCCAGGGCCTTGATTTGTCCGCCGAACCGTCCATAGTACATTCCATACTTTCAAAGTCAAAACTAAAACACAAGAGAAATGTCACTTCAGACTTAAAAATTCACATTCACACACACGCGCACACACACACACACATAGATGTGCATAACTTGCTATTCCTATAATATATCTGTACCTTAGTATAGGAAGTCCTTGCCGACAAAGACACCTAAAAAGGAAATATGAAAGAATTTCTATGGACTCAGTGTTTTAGCTTCAAAAATACAGAATGACAAATACCGGGCCTGGCAAAAGAATAACGGAACAATGAACAGCAAAAATTAAATAGCGATGTATTATGTGTATTTTACTTTATTCTATATAAGGCTTGCTGACTTACCAATCGCTAACATTGCTTATGATGGAAAGGGGGAAAGATCTTACAGCTGTCTTCGTTTTAACAAGTCAATATGTTAGGCTCATACTAATTCATTCCTACCCATCAATTTTCACCGAGCATTTTCTCCTAGTGTGTTGGCAAGTGTACTTTTCCAACCATATGTGACACATCACTAGCAAAGTTATGGATTTGCTTTGATTTTGGAATCTCTTCCCAATGTGGTGCTCTTTAAAGTAAGACTGCTATTTCTCTGACATTTTTTGAGGTTATTACTCATGTTCACCACGTTAGAATAAATGGCAAGTTAAGTTGCTCATTCTTATATAGTTCAGGAACAAAGTTTTTAAACAGACAGGCTTGTGTGTTCCATGTATTCTTTTTCCCCCTCACAAAGTCAGTAACTCTGCTTCCTCACAAAAACATTGTATTAATTGTCTCTACCCACAGTCCTACCAAGCAGCACCTGATCAGACAGATAGTTGGACAGAAGGTAGCTATACTTCATATCCTCTGGAAGATTTTACAGGAGATTGCAGAAGGAAAAGACAACAATATATATCGGAAACAAAAGCATGACTTGCTATGACTTTGCAAAAGTTAAGACTGTCAAAATACAATATTTGAGTAGAATGTTCCTATTACATTTGTTGCCATTCTCCACCTATTAAAAACTAATCAGACGTAAAAAATCAGCATAGGGGTGTGATGACAGACAATTTTGTCACGCCTTTGGATGCAGGAAGCAATGTTGAACAGAAAAGAGGCAGAATGGGGTAAGCTAATAAAAGCTTAACTAGACAAAGCTGTAATAGAGTTGGAGCATGCAAGGCAAGTGGGCATCTACAAACCACTCACAGCATTAACGCGCTCAGCCGGCCACTCTGCAGCCCCCATGCCATTCAGCGGGTCAGCACTCAGGTGTTCCTCTCAGCCCACCCCTTACTCTCACACAACAGGAAAAGGAAGCACACACAGAAGTGAATGCTTCTATTTTAGGGCTTAGGTATGAGCCTTTTGCCTCATACTCCATCCCTGCATGTCTATGGGCTAGGAAATCGTCACATGCCAAGGAACAGCAAAAACATTTTTCAGCCCATTAGTTTTCAGAAAGAAGATAAAATTATATATCTATATGTAATGTATTATCTAATTAAAGCAAAGCAAAAGCAAAACCAATAAGCAAAGAGACTAAAGCTAACACCAAAAACAACAACAACAACAACAACAAAAACTCCCACAAAGGTACGAAATTAGGAAATCAGAGCTCTGAGTTCTGATCTTATACTCTATAGAGTATAAGAATTCTCTCAGAGTAGCACTATCTTTCCCCATTGGTCCTGTGTGACGGCACATTTGGGAAAAGTCAGTTTTTACAAGCTCTATTGTCGTGTGGGTAAAGGAATCATTAGAGCAAACAGAATACATAGCATGCTATTCTTACCTGTTATTCCTGAAATTTCTAAATCCTCCCTTAATTCCGTAAATACCACTCTCGATTTTAAAGTATGCAATAGGGTAATATTATTCTGTCTTGTCATATAATATGAAGTATAAGGGAGATTAGTAGTTTTTGATGTAATGGAGATAGATAAGAAACATCCATTAGAAGAGCATGCTATAAAAACCAGAATTATATTTCAGAATGCAATTTCTCAAGAAACTAAGAACTTGTCTGTTGGTTTTCTGAGTCTATTCCATATACTATATGAGAGGTATTAAAATGGAAACCTATCCAAGCCATTTCATTAATAGTTTAGTTTCTGCATCTGTAAGGCAGAGATGATTATAGCTTTTGTCTCACAAATTCTCAGAGAAGGAATGAGGATTATGAGATAGCATCTGGTTGGGTTTTAGAACTCTTTTGGAATGAAGCACTATAAAAAACAAGTTACTGCTTTTAAAAACAACAGTGGGAGAGAAAAAATACCACGTAGGCCGAAACATCTTCCAAATTAAAAATATACTATTATCGCCTCAATCTGTGTGTATGAAAGTGTATTTGTGGATACTAGAATGTTTTTTGATTAAAGGAGAAAATGTGGAGAAGAGAACGTCCCATTCAAATGTACTCTTTCCAGTCCTGTTGTAAAACATTCCAGGAGCCAAGAAAATGAGAGAATTTTATGAAATAGAAAAACAAGGTTAAGAAACAAAAACAAAAACAAACAAACAAAAAACAATGTTAATAAGTTGATTTTTTTCCTGCTCTGACCCATTCATTTTTCCCCCTCAAAACACTACAAATATATATCAAGTAAAAGGAACAGCCTCTTGCTTACCTCTTCCTCCAATGTCACTGTTTGGTAGCTATTTCTGCAATCATTTACAAGCATATACAAAATACACAGACACCATTTTTAAAATAAAAAGGGAGTCACTCTTCTGCATCATCCAACAATATATCAATCATATACCCCTTCCAACAGTTGTTAGAGTATTCTATCATATAGATATATGTAACCTAAGCTCTAAAGAAAGTACTTCTTCTCAAAATCAGAGTTCATCTAATGGTGATTTTTACTCACCTGTTTCATTTCTGCCTTAAAGGTATTTCTAATACCAATTATGTGATTTGTTTTAGTTGCCCACACAGAAACGACCCTCCTTAAACCCTACCACATCTGCTGCTGGGTTTCTCCCCTCAGTGCAGTGTATAATTTCACCACTGAGTTCCATCTTCTGTGACCACATAAAATTCAAATGCAAGCAAGCCAAGTTTTACTTACGTTACTGAGTACTGTGCAAATGACAGATATTCCACTAGAACATCAAGACCCTTGTTTTCTTCATTCAAAAACTCTCTGACCCATCTGTTGAAAAAAATAATAATCATTGGAGAGGTTGATCGCATGACCTGCCATGGAAAGGTCACAGTGCAAAGTTTTGTTTTTCCACGAGATACGTTCATTGCCTGAAAGGAAATACAGAGGAAGGCCTATATATTCACACAAGGTAGAAGCTTTTCAGGTATGGTAACTAAGAAAAGTATAACATTTCAATATGTGAGAATAAGTACTAAATATTGCATGTTGCCATCTTTACATTGTACTGCTTAGGAGAATTAAGACAACCTATAAGAAACTTCCTAAAAAGAAATGAAAAAGGTACTTGCTAAATGTACTCTTCTTTCCACCCCAACTGAGCCACAGCCTGTGTGTTGAAGGAGACAAGACCACACAGAAATGAGGCAGACTGGGGACATGACAATGTAACCACTGAACTCCAGGCAGGACTCCAAATCTACGCTCAACTCCTCCTTGGCACACTGAGCTACAGAAACCACACAACCAGCCAATGGGAGACCAGTGTTTATGGGCTTCTAGAAATTCAATAGGGATAATGATTTACCTAATTTTTTCCATGAACGTTTAAACCTTTTTAAAAGTTGCAGGCAACCACATACCATCATCAAGGTCAACACATGACAAGTATTAGGTTTTTTTAAAAAAAATTCACTTTTAAATAATACCACTTGAATAGTACTCAACAGTTCACTGAGAAAGTTTACACATTTTTATTTGTTCTTCCTAACAACTCCAATAGAGTAGTCAAATAGAATCTTTAGGTACTGAAAATAAATATCTTTACCCCATTTTATAGATTTCTTCCAGTGCACTCAACTTCAAAGAACATGAGGTACTTGATTAAACCTTCTCTAAGTTTGAAACTCCAACAAATAAGTCAAAAAGTTAGCTACTATCACTGAAATGACACCTGAGGTACATCTGTCAAATGTATCCCAAAATGGTTGTTTTCCTCCATGAACACCAAGCCAAAAAGCTTGACCAGCTATGGATATGACAGCAACTATGGAAGCCAGTTTAGCTAGCTGTTAAAACAACAGCAGGACAATACTACCACATGTCCCTTAAGAATGAGCAACTCTTTGGGATGTTTTTCTTTGTTTGTTTTTTAAGACAGTCTTACTCTGTTGCCAGCTAGAATGCCATGGCGTCATCATAGCTCACTGCAACCTCAAACTGCTAGGCTCAAGCAATCCTCTTGTGTCAGCCTCCCAAGTAGCTGGGACTACAGGTGTGCACCATCAACCTGGCTAATTTTTTCTATTTTTAATAGAGAAGGGCGTCTCACTCTTGCTCAGGCTGCTTTCAAACTCCTAGCCTCAAGCAATTCTCCCACCTTGGCCTTCCAGAGTGTTAAAATTATAGGCATGAGCCACCATATCTGGCCTGGGATCTTTCTCTTAAAGGAAGAAAAATCCCATGGACTTGGGAGGCCTGGTTCTTAAATATTGTTATTCGAAGTATTTTCTTTCTTTCAATTTTTTTTTCTTTATATTTATAGAGACAGGGTTTCATTCTATCACCCAGGCTGGAGCGCAATGGTGTGATCATAACTAACTGCAGCCTCAAACCCCTGGGACTCAAGGGATCCTCCCACCTTGGCCACCACCTGCCCGCTACAGGTACATATCACCACCCACAGCTAATGCTTCTCTCGTTTTTTTCTTTTTCTTTTTTTTTTTAAATAAATGGAGTCTCACTACTATGTTGCCCAGGCTGGTCTCAAACTCCTAGGCTCAAGTGATCTTCCTGGCTCAATCTCCCAAGTTGCTGGGATTACAGATGTGAGCCACCACATCCAGCTTGGACTTCTTTGTTTTTTGTTTTATTCTCAAGCTCATTCATTTACAGTCCGGTCATCTCCATGATGTACACTCAGGTCTCCACGCAGTACCAGGAGGCAGCATAGTGGGAAAAGCAGAAAGCTTGCCTTGTATTTTTCCCCAGTATGCCTCAGACAGGCAACCACAAAATGTATGCAATTAACATAGCTGTGTGTAAGCATGTAACATTTAATTTAAAAGAGACCTAGAGTGGCAACATTGGCAAAGAAACCACCACCTGGTAGGTCTCACAAAGTGGCTTTGAGATCTATACTACCAGGACTGGCTTCTGTTTGAGGCTAAAGTTTCATTTCAAAACAGTTATATACACAATCTCACAGCATCCGTTTCTACATACTCATTTTTATTTGATTTATTTTAATGATTCTCTATGCTGCTAGGTCTCAGGAGACATTGATCATTTTCAAATGCTAGTAATTAGAAGCTTAGAAATAGTCAAGCTTAGAAATAGTCAAAAGAAATTTTTTTCTTTTTTTCTTTTATAACAGGCAGGAGACTTAAGAAAGGGTGGAACTATCCAAATCTGATGACTAGTTGCTCTTTAAATTCAAGCCCCTTTGCCTCTTTTAAGCTTTTCCATTGGTCTAAGCCCATGGTCTGCATACTTTAAATTGGACCTTGGTGGTGGGTATCTTCTCAACACAAAAAATAACCACAGGAGTCCTGATTTTTCAAGGCAGACTCAGTTTCTCCTATTCTATCTCAGTGGCTCATAAGAACATATTTGGAAGTTGAGAGAAACAGCCATTGTAGTTCTTTCTGGCTAATTTTCTAGACATTGCCCCTAAAGATACAAACCATCCAGAACACACTCAGTACCTACCATTCTGTCAATCACTGGCACCTTCATCTCATGTAGAAAGTTGAGCCACAAATGAACTGGACAAGAGGCAAATGATGCACTGATTTAAAACACTTGTTAAAGTAGGACATAGCCAAGTATAGCCAGAGCTACGATTTTCTTAATATGCATATATTTTGATGCAGGCATAAAGAGTATTAATTGGCTTCTCTTTCCTCACTTCAACGTCCTTATCAGTGCCCCATCTCTACTTGCTGACTTTGCGTGAAAGTGCCTTAAAGACAATTTTCAAAGTGAAAGGTAGGACTGTCCGCTGCTTACCTCCTCAAAAATCAGCTAAGAGTGCAGGCAACATGTCCTGCCTTTCGCTTAATTTCATGCAGTTAACATCTTTTTCTAAGCTACAAGATCCTCCCTGGGTCTTTGATCTTGCCCCAACACCTCTAGGTGAGTTAGGAAAGAATGAGATAAATCCTCTAGTGTTGGCTACCTTACCCCTTTTATGAAATGACATCAGGTTAGCAAAAGTCATTTCTACAATAAGGGCATGGCTTATAAGAAAAAAGGAGCCCTCACTCTTCCACTGTCATCCTGGTCTCTATCCCTTCCCTGTTTAGGATATTCTGCATGGGAGAAAACAGAGTTGAAAGTGATCTTCTAAGGAAATCAAAAAGGAAGGAAGGAAAGAAAATAGGCAAAGATGAAAAAGGGTAAATTTCAAAGCAGTATTTTGAATTTAAAAGCATTAGAAGAATATGGATGCCTCATTTTTCAGGTTTATGCAAACGATCATGCAATGACTATAGCATCTATTTACGGTTCCTGTAGCAAATTATTTCCATTTTCACCTCTGTGCATGCTACACACATATTTTTACATGTTGCCAATAGGCAAACAGTTTCAAATTGGGTGATTATAGGCTTTGGAAAGTAGAATTATTTCCGATTCTGACAGCATGGGTACTTCCTGAGTGCCTCACAGATTCAATGTAATTACCATATGTTGTAAATTTTAAGGTAGGCAAATTCTAAATCAGATGCTTAGGAGCTGGAAAAGACACAGATGATGAAAAAAAGCTCTGGAAAAAACTGGATTCAAAGAAGGGATGTACGTGCAAATGCCAATAGTCATTATTTTATTATAGACTGGTCATAGCTGTATTTCAAAGTTTTGTTCTCTCTACCTCCCCAAATCTTAGAATCTCGTTGTCCTCTTATGAAAAATTGAGTCTTAAGGTACCTTTCTGGCTTTCAATTTCTAAGATCAAGCAAAGTGGCCCAAAGATACACAAGAGAAAGAGGCAAACAGTGAATTCCGTCTGCCAGTCTCCTTTAGAGAAAGTTGCTGAAATATCATGAAAAGCAAGAGTAAGAAGCATCATTCGGATTCAACACTAGTCACCAAATCTACTGTTACGCAGTGTTGCAAACTGGTTCTCAAAGTGTAGCCCACATGCCACTAGGGGTCCCTGAAACCCTCTCACGGCATCTGCAAGGGCAAATCCATTTTCATAAAAATATTAAAAGGTTAGTTGTTTTCGATTTGTTGACACTGACACTCATAGTGCAAAAAGAAATAGTAGATAAAACTGCTGCCACCAAATAATACGTTTATTGTATCCTTCACCCCATGCACTCAGGGGAGGGGGAGAAAGCCAGCTTCAGTTAAGAATGGCCTTAGTTTTTCTCAACATAGTATTCCTGGCAATAAAAAATAATAAAATAAAATAAAAAAAGAAGAATGCCCTTAGTTAAGCAATAAAAATTATTATCATTATTATTTTTGGAGACAGGGTCTCATTATATTCCCCAAGCTGGAGCACGGTAGCTATTACCAGGCACGATCATAGCTCACTACAGCCTCGAACTGTAGTGAAGTGATCCTCCTGCCTCAGCCTCCTGAGTAGCTGGGACTACAAGAACATGCCACCACACCTGGAAAACTTATTGATTTTATTAAAGCTTGTTCCTTGATTACACATCTTTTTAATTTTCAGCGTGACAAAATGGGAAGCCCACATAAAGCACATCTGTTGCCCACCCAAGTATCATGGTCACGTCTTGAGGAAAAGCATTTGTGCAACTGTTTGACTTGCAAGCTGAAGTAGCTGACATTCACGTAATGTCAATTTACTTGTAAAAATGACTGTCAAACTATGATAATTCAGTGTGGGGTATCTGGTAGGCACTTGTTCAAAATGAATTAAGCCTGTCATTTCAGGGAAAACAACAGACAGTATTTGTTGTCAATGACAAACTGAGCTTCCAGACAAAAGCTAGAATTTTGGAAAACCTATATTCACCACCCTCAGTTTGAAATCACTTCCCAATACTCAAGAATATTCTGATCAGACTGGCGATTATTAACAAATGCAAATTTCTTTAACATTGTACAGTGATAAATTTCAATATTTGAAAGATCAAAATAACTTAGTGAAATGATGTTTTCCAAATGACCAAAGCATGATGTTAAGAAATCATGCCACAAGATCATGCATGGGTAAAAAGATGCAATCAATGTATAAGGAAAGTATAGTGGGTTTTAATATGACAGAGCATAAAAAGTTCATTGATATGGTTTTGGACTCTACATTACAACCACCTTTAAGAATTTATTACCACTTTTTGGGCAGGGCGCGGTGGCTCACGCCTGTAATCCTAGCACTCTGGGAGGCCGAGGTGGGCAGATTGCTCGAGGTCAGGAGTTTGAAACCAGCCTGAGCAAGAAAGAGTGAGACCCTGTCTCTACTATAAATAGAAAGAAATTAATTGGCCAACCAATATATATAGAAAAAATTAGCCGGGCATGGTGGAGCATGCCTGTAGTCCCAGCTACTCAGGGGGCTGAGGCAGAAGGATTGCTTGAGCCTAGGAGTTTGAGGTTGCTGTTAGCTAGGCTGATGCCATGGCACTCATTCTAGCCTGGGCAACAAAGTGAGACTCTGTCTCAAAAAAAAAAAAAAAAAAAAAAATTATTACCACTTTTTGAATTTTGGTATACCATCCAAAAGAGAATATCCATAATGGTCTAGACCATTAAAAAACTCCTTTCTGTAAATGTGTATATGTGTATGGCCAGATAGTTTTCATATACATCAGCCAAAACAACATATCATGGCAAAGTGAATGTAGACACAGGAGCATGCATCTGCCTTCTATTAACCAGACACTGAAGAGATTTGCAAACATGGAGAACAATGCTATTTCTGCCAGTAAATTTTTTTTGCTTTGGCATATAGTTATTTTTTATGAAACACATTATGTTAATGTTTACTGTGCTAATATTTATGATAATATAACATTTATTTATATTTATACATTTAAATTGATATTAAATATTGAATTTTATTAAACACATTTAAAATTGATCAGTTTTAATTTCTAATATGGTAAACGTTAATAGATTCAACCCACATACACAAAAGCTTATTGGGATTCAAACATAACTGATGAGTACAAACAGTTTCTGACACCAAAAAAATTGAGAACTGCTGGTTTACATGACGGGCTTTAGATTTGGGCACATCTACATTCAAATCTAAGGCTTCTCACTTGTGTGGATTTAGTAGCTGATCCTCAGTATTCTCATCTGTAAAATGGGGGTCCAGAGGTAAAAGGCAACAATAGAAAGATTTTTGCAAAAAACAAACAAAATAATACATTTAAAGTGCCTCACATCGTGCTTAACAAATGACAAAATGATTATGATCTTGATGATTTCCAAAAAAAGCACCATCTAGGAATAAATCACAGGTTTTGATGTCATACACATACACGCATTGTAATACGCATACACGCATTGTAAACATCTTAAAAGCAGCCTTAGTCACTCTCCTGCCTTTCCTCTGTTGGCCCGGGTCAGCCAGCACTGACTCACAAAGAAGCCTGTCAGTCCAGGAGGGAAGACGTTCGCTAAGCAGTTCCTCAGCTCCTTCCCTTGTCTACAAACCTCCTCCCCTCCTTGCCAACTTGCCACACTCCTCCTGCAATCTCATGCCTGTTCTCTCAACTCCCCAAGGAGATAAAAGTGAAATGAGGATCTTTCAGGACTTCTGCGCCTTGCACTCAGGATAAAAAGTAATTTTCCATCATCATGGGCAGTTTTACTACAATAAATAACCTGCAAGGAGAGACAACCTACACCTCAGTTTCACAGAACAAAGCTGATGAATCTATCCAGCTCACCCTCACCACCACTCGACTCCTATCACCCTGACATCCAAAGCATCGTGACAGCTGCCTACTCACGTTGCACAGCCAGTGGTTCTATCAGTGCACGCTTCATATCAAGGGTATTTCAAGAGCTTAGACAAGTCATAATCCAATTCTCCTCTATTATTATAGTTCCTAAGAGTAAGTGAATGGGATTATTTCTAGCCCAATTCTTACTTCAATTTGGCTCAAAGAAAATTAATTTCCTTTCTCAGAAGACTGCTCCATTTTATAGAGTTTTCGGCTTATATCAAAACTCAGAACAAACCCTTTGCTTGACAAAGCTGCAGCTTAGAATGTTATCTTGGTAATGCCCAAGATTTTAACCTTGAAATGCAAAAGCATGTGCCAAGAATAATTTTTTAAGGAGAAGTAGATTTTCAATGGAATCCCTCATTTTAATTTCTGGGAATCAAAATCTCCTGGGTCAGGGTCATGTGAGATAGAGGTGGTAATCCTCTCTGCCTTAGGGAATTCGTTAGAGATACATACAATATTGCCAAATTATTAGAAGATATTATTTGGAACAAGCATAACAAACAGCTATCATATATTGTGTAACTACTACATATCAGATTCAATATTAGGTCTTTATAAATTATCTCATTTAATCCTTATAACAGTCCTTGAGGTAAGAAATCTTATCCTCGTTTTATGGATGACAAGTTAACTTAGGTCACATAGTAAGTACAGAGAACTTATATAACTTATCTAAGGTCATATAACTAAAAAGGGGGATGGCAAAAATTTGAATCAAGATCTCCTTTTCCATAAAGCAAATGGGCACTGAACTATCATTTTATTATCGTAGCTTACAGGATGCAATAAAATATATGGATTCCTTATATACTTGCATTCCAAGAATTTATCACAGTAATTGATTCTTTTCATCATTATTGAGTAATTCTTCAGAAGATTTCCCAATCAAATGAGATCAAACCAGTTAGTTTACATAATGAAGAGTCCGGTTCAAGTTTGGGTTTTCAGGACAAGCAAAATAAAGTCAAAATCTTGGTGTCTGGTTTCATTCCATATAAGTTTATGCTAGTAATTGGTTGCACACAACCAAACAATGCATCTCCATGAATTTTGCTGCTACTAAAGCCAAAGCTTTCGGAGTGTCTCACACAGGTGATGGGCAAGGGAAAACCTCAGCTGGTGAAGATGAAATAAATCTAAGAATCTTTCAATACACCTATACAGTATCCTAAATAAGCAACCACTTCAATTGCTTGCAGATTGCACTGGCTTCAACCCAAGGAGGGCTCTTCCATTCAGCGAACTCTGTATCGGAAATGATCATTTTGCTTTGGTATTTGACGGTCAATTTCACATTATTTCAGCAATATTTGAAGAAATGCTTTTTGACAATTTGTAGAAATCCTGGCTGCAGTTCATTCCACCATTTTCAGTCAAGAAGTGCCACGGGCATATTAGGGTTGGGCCATTGCAAATGGAATCCAGTTCCTGATCCATAAATATTGAAAAGTATCTGAATTTCCTAAATTTGGATGCCCAACTGTATTAAACTACTACCACCTTCACCCCCAATAGACAAGCCTCACTGCTTTGATCCGAGAACCCTGATTATCTTATTTCCTTCCAGAGAGAGAACAGCTGCTAGAATAAGCTACATAGGAAAAAGGACAGAGCATTTTGAGCCAAAACACCTGGCTCTACAGCTGTTGACTTTGCCCAATGTGCAATTTACTCACCTTCCCTGGTCCTTAATTATCTTAATCTATATAAAATGAGGGATTAGGCAATCCTTAATTTCTCTTCTAGTTCTAAAATCAAGATTCTATGATTCATTGTTCTTTAGACCAATTTCTGGGACAAAAGCTAGAATCACTTCATTTCCTGAACCTTTTATTCTCAAGTTGAGGTTATCCTTTAGAAAATGAACAAACATTCTCATCCCGGCTTCACTTAAAAATCACACCAGCATTTCTAAAATTTAAAAAAGCTTATTCTTACATAACTGTGCTAATTAACCATTTGAATGGCTTATACCAATCATAGTACGAAGTAGACATAAACTTAATAATTTAAGCAAAATGATGTGCAGTAGGTCCTCGAATAATGGCATTTCATCATAAAAATGATGAGAAAAAACATGCCATTTGTCTTAATGTCAGGTTCTAAGAACCTATCGATGACATTGACACATTGACATTGACACATATTGTACTGTATTTTACAGGATTACTGTATAAAACTGAAGTGTTTCTAAATACATATAAAACTTTATTTCCAATAGATCTGCAAAGAATGTCACAGGGGAAAGTTCTAAAAGATCTGAAAGTCTACAATCCTTTCTTCATAAAGCTCAAAGAATCAAAACCAAAAGGGGTTAAATAAACTTGTTAAAGAGGTACTTGGGGCAGAAATAAGACTGACTACAAAATACAATACCTGGTATCAGTCTGCCTTGGAGATAAGCCATCTAGTTTTAAGGTACTGTGCAATTATGTCCCCTAGGGGCCAACAGAGAAAGTGATAAAGTTATACTTGCCCAAGGCAAAGCAACCACAGCTTGTTGCCTGAAAGAAACCCTCAGAAATGCTTAGTGCAGAGATTCCCGGACTTTGTTGTCGAAGAGTGGATTTACACTTCACGGTCCTGAGATTTTGAGATGTATGAAAAGGAAACTCAGAATGTGTTCAAGTGCAACGAGGTGAATTGGGTGACATTACTGCATCTTCTGTCCGCTTCTGGCCAGACACCAAGAGAACTGAGGAAAGGGATATAAAGCAACCCCAACCAACCAGCTTGGAGAGCTACAGTGAAGGCTTACAGATTTTCCAGGATCTCAGTCTACATCTACTACTGGGATTCCTGATTTGCCAGAGAATTGTTATGCACACATGAAACCAAGGCACTTACCATGAAGTGTCCATATTTACTGCATCCAAGAAAAGAAATACAGAGTTGTTCTAAATACTCCAAATCAAGGGCTTCATCTGCCCTGCTTCCACTGATTCTTATATAGTAAGCATTCCAAGTACTAACAAAGCTTCCAACCATCAAAACCTCAGTCTTAACTTATAACGAATAATAAGGAAGCTCAGTTATTTGAATATGATTTATTCACTTTGTAAAGTGTCCAAAAGCCCTAGAGCTAAGATGTTAAACGGGCATACTTACCCAATGTGGTTCGTTCTTAAGGAAATTTCCAGTTCTCTTAGCACTTGTGTAGATTCTTGAACACGCCGTCTGAATTTCTACAATTCAAGAACACAGTCTCACAAAACATATTTTAGCAACTGCTATAACTGCAGCTTACTTATAATAAATTTAACACAAGATGAAAAATATCTTCACTTCTAATGTGGGCTTTTCTCACATTTTTTTTTGGCAAAGCACACAAATTTTTCTCACCATGAAAATAAGCTAATGAGAAAGGACTAGAAAAGTTACTTATTATAATATGTAATAAGTGTCCTTTGAGTAGATTTTATTTCCCTGGCCCACATACACAACAATATTCACCAGTATACCTATGAGTCAGGGACTCCAAGACCACCACCAGCTTCCATGATTCATTAGGAGGACTCACAGACTCAGCACACAGTCATACTCATGGCTATTATGTATTACAGGAAAAGAATACAAAGCAAAATCATCAAAGAAAAAAGATGCATGGAGTAAAACATGGAGGAAACCAGGTATAAGCTTCCAGGAGTCCTCTCCCTGAGGAATCACAAATGACAACATGCACAAAGCTCGTAAGAGACTCAGTGTCCAGGGTTTTTATTGGGGCTGGTCTCACAGGTCTCTGCCTAGCACATAGCAAACTTCCAGACTCCCAGAAGGAAAAGCTACTCAGCATAAACCATGTTGTTTTCATAAACAGTTTAGGCACTGTGAGCCATTCTTATCAGGGAATGGTGGAAAACCTCCCGAAATACAAGTTCCCAGATGCCAACCAAGGGCCAAGCTTACATGCAGGACTTTTTTTTTTTTTTTAATTGGGGGGGGCTAATTTCTGTTTGTTTAACAGCTTTATGGAGAGACATAGTCATATAATGCACAATTCGCCAATTTAAATTACACAATTCAGTGTTTTTTAGGATATTCACAGAGGTTTATAGCCATCACCACAATCAGTTTTAGAACATTTCATCCCTCCAATCCCCAAAAAGAAACCCCATACCCATTGACAGTCATTGCCTATGTCCCCTCAGCCTCCCAGCTCTAGAAACACTAACAGAGATAGTATTCTGCCTCTAGGGTTTTTCCTATTCTGGTCCTTTCATATAAATGGAATCATAATTCCTGGTCTACTGTGATTGGCATCATATTCCACTTTTGAAGACCCATTTGGCCATAATCATCCCTTTCATACTGAGTGTACATGACAGAATATGGAGTCTGGTTGAGAACTTGGAGGATGCAATAGGGCAGGGTTTCTTGCACAGCAGCCTGGTAAATCATCCAAACTCCTGAGCTCTGAGGGGGGAGAGAGTAGAAGGGGGAAGGAGGACAGAGAAAGAGGGGATGGATTCCAACATGGCTCAGCTGTCTCACCAGCCTGTCCCAGCTGGGCCATTTGAACAGGACCTCTGGTGCCACCAGGACCCCACACTGAGGGCAAACCTCCTGGGTCAGACGCTAGCCTTGCCACATATTAGCTGTAATTCTTCATATGCCCTGCTTCCTCACCTCTAAAAAGGGAATATAAGCAACTCCTACTTCATAGGCTCCACATCACAGAATTGTTATGGAGGGTAGATGACAGGACGTATAGACAAGTGCACAGCACCTAGACGTTGTTAATGTCTGACACATGTTTATGCTTCTTGTTGTTGTTTGACCACAGCTGTTTATATATTGTTCTTCTAAGGAAAATTTAATCTGAAAAAGGGGTTCTGGTGCTTTAAAAAATAATGCAAACCATTATTCTAGGAAAACACACACCATGCAGATATCTGCTACCAGAAGGCCATCTGTGTTCTGCTTGCTGTGAGCTGGGACAATGGCGAGATTTAGCTGAAACTCAAGAGTAATAATAGAAAGTGAGGGGAGAGGTGGGTTAGGTTCTTTCCCAGCATAAAAGGTTGATGGAGGCCGGGCACGGTGGCTCACGCCTGTAATCCTAGCACTAGCACTCCGGGAGGCCAAGGCGGGAGGATCGCTTAAGGTCAGGAGTTCAAAACCAGCCTGAGCAAGAGCAAGAACCTGTCTCTACTAAAAATAGAAAGAAATTAACTGGCCAACTAAAAATATATAGAAAAAATTAGCCAGGCATGGTTGCGCATGCCTGTAGTCCCAGCTACTTGGAAGGCTGAGGCAGAAGGAGTGCTTGAGCCCAGGAGTTGGAGGTTGCTGTGAGTTAGCACTCTAGCTGGGGCAACAGAGTGAGACTCTGTCTCAAAAAAAAACCCAACAAGTTGATGGAAAGAATCTAGTCCTTCCCCCCAAATGTTCACCAGTGCTACTGGCAGGCAGAGTCTGCTGGCTTTATGAAACTTGTGTCTTATCTGTTCACCTGCACTCCTCTCCTACAATTTCTTCTCTGCGTGCGTGCGTGTGTGTGTGTGTGTGTGTGTGTGTGTGTGTCAGAACTGCATTTTTTAAAAATGTCTTACCATTTTTTTAATCTTTTTTATTTTTTTAAATTTCAGAATAGTATATGGGGGTACAAACATTTTGGTTACATATATTGCCTTTGCAGGCTTTTCTAAGGATAGCAGTCTCAGGTCTGCTATGTTATTTTTTTTTTTCTGCACCACCTAACATGTTCCAAGAATAAGCATTCAGAGCATTACCTCTGCCCCTTAGTCCTCACTTGGAAGTTCCCTCCTTTGGAGCATGCCCCCAGTTCCTCTGGCACGGAATTTTCTTCCTCATTCCCTTGCCTCTTAAAATCCTACCTACTATCCTTCCAGGGCTCCTTCAGGTCTTCTTTTTTCAATGAATCCACCTCTGATCGTAAATGTATACATTTCTCTATCCTCTTGACTCTAAGTAATCTCCAAGATACCAATGGGCTGCATTGCCCATCAGTTCTTTGGAACACATTTTCCTACGGAAATATTAATTACAGGGACTACAGTCTCAGGCCACTCTGGAAGAAGGAAATTTGAAGTGTAACACGTCCTAAGCAGAGTTCTGGGCTTTCTGTGCTACAAACCTGGGCTACCGTTACGTGACACTGTTCACAGAATACTGGCTCAGAATACGAAGGACCCTTCTCCACCACTGTCATAGCTGCCGTGGACACAGAGTCACCCAGCTCCAGGCTTCCGAGAATGGCTCCCATGGCTTGGGAGAAAGGTGTCCAAGGACAGGAAGGAAAGGAAAGAGGCTGGAAATCAGGATTCCAGAATGTGGGAACCGTGGCCACTGGGACCCTGTGGCCCAGTGAAGACCCGGGACACTGCTCGGCACAGGCAGGCTCCAGTCACTCTCTCCTCCTCTTCTGAAAGCCTTCTGCGTCCCCACCAACTGCTTCTCACCAGGGCCCTGAGGAAGCAGATAGTCTCACAGTTCCTCTGCCACTGTCATTCCTAGAGCACTCTAAAAAGACCTTTTCAGGTTTTCAGAATGCAGGTATAGTGAGATATAAAAAAATAAAAATATCCCCGATGCAATGACAAAAGAGAGGCACTCTCCTTCTACTGTCAAAAAAGGACTGAGAAATGGCAGGAGCATGGATAGTGTGAAGGGCATCCAAGCCCAGAGCTTCCCGGATCGCGTTCTAGCAACGAGGGTGCTCAGCGCGGTATTGGCGTGCAGGGGAGCAGTGCAGGATGGGTGGCTAAAGGTTCTCTTTAAACTCTTCCATTGCAGATAAAAATTAGGAATGGAGTCAACGGGCAGGGCAGGCATCTCTGCAGCTTGGACGCAGATGGGAAGAGAAAGGAGACAAAAAAACTTTAGGATCTCTGGCCACACAGCTGAGGCGACCGTTTCCAGGCAGGCTAGCTGCTGCAGAGCGGCCACTCCCATGTCAGAGTCCTAAGTCTTAGGCCGTCTGCACAGGTGGCCGTTAGAACGCAACTCGACCGTCCGAGCTGTGTGTTATGTACAGTTCTGACTCGTTCCCTGCAGCCTTTGACTCTGCTCCTCTAACTCTGCCTCACACTACACGTCAGGGCATGGCTGTCCCCCCTTCCACATGTCAGACCCGAGGGCACCCAGTGTAGCACTGAAAACATAACAGAGTATAAAAAAGGATCACAGCTGAAGGGCTAAGAGATCTGCATCACAACCAGGTGACTAAATCAGCACACTCTGAGGCAACAGCAACAGCAGCAGCAGCTGACATCAGTTATGCGTCAACTGTGCCAAGCGCTACACTTCTGCAACTGCCTCCGAGCTGAGGGAACAAAACTGACTTTGCTCCTATATCATATCGTCTTGGGAATGGCTCTTTTGTTTTTTTTTTTTTTTTGGCTGGACTCTGGACTACAGAGAAACCTTGGAATCCACTCCTGTAAAAACGTACACAATGAACAGTAACACTTTGTACTTCTAAAAAACATCCAGAGTGCTTTAAGGCACTTCAAGGAGAAATCATGTACCTTGGCGACCTGAAAAAAGGAGGCAGGTAAGATCCATGAGCAGTCGGTGCCATTCTCCCTGCTTCCCGCCCTGTTGAAGGAGGGCCAGGGTGAGCCCGGGGAGGCAGCTGAGCCCTAGATGAGCCATACAACAGATTTCTGTTCACAACCCCAGTGCCAGCAAAGGACCAGACTCCTTTCTTCATGCCAGACGTGAGCACATCCCCTCCAAAGCACAGACTAATGACCGCCTGCTATTAAATAAGCTCGCCGATCCGGAGAGTTCTGGTCATGGAGATATCTAATTTAGGCTCTTCCTTCCCCTGCCCTAAAGGGTTTGCATTTAAAAATACTTAGAAGACAATCTAAAGAGAATAAGCCTATGAAATTTTTCCCTAAAAGAGCAAATTAAGTATCTTCTATTCAATTTGAACAAAAGATTAATGAATGAAGTGGTCGTGGACTCCAGACACAGTTAAAGGAAGACTGCTCAGCTTAGACTGTCTGGCTACAATTTAAAGCCCTGATTTGAAATCTTTTCCCCCCACCACCACCATAACAGAGCTGAGAATTTTAAGCTCATTTTAACTGCAAGCCATGCCTTATTCCGAACAAATCTTTTTTTTTTTTTTTCAGGCTTTAAATGACAATTATGTTTGTGGAGAACAGATCATTTCCTACTGCCAGCTCCTGACAGAATCTTACCCAAGCAGGGGTGGTTAATCCAACACCCACTTGATTACTTTTTTCAGAGCAGAGTGACTAATAATCTTGAAAGAGGCAGCACAAACCACACGGGGCCATTCAGGAGGACACATACGGTCCAGGGCAGAATGTCAGGAAGGCCCCAACAGACATCTTTTATCCTAGCTCCTCTTTATCAAGTTATTTGTGAGGGAACGAAACACTTTCTGAGTAATTTATTTGTTGTTCTGTTTTGCTTTGTTTTCTTTGCCTTAACGCAGAAATAACTGACCTAAAGGAGACCTGGAACTGCGCCAGGAGGAAGCCCACCTACTTCCCTCTAAGTATCTTATTTATTATGGAGTTTGGGAGCCTAAGAAGCACTCTCTAGACGTTTACCTATTTTCTCCTTTCTTTTCAGAATCTGTTTTGGGATGGAATGAACTCTGCATGAGGGGAGGTCCAAGTTTTGTGTATAAACATTGGCATTTCCGTCATTCTCAGCTCAGGGTGAGCAACAGCGCCTAAGGCTGGGGTCTGAGCCATACAGCCCAAAGGTTACAAGTTTGGGAATTCAGAAAACCTCTAAAAATCTAGTCTAAAATAGCACTGTGCTGCCCCGAGGTGAAGAAAGAGAAAAAAACACATTTTTGAGGGGAATGAGTACATTTTGTATGTATAGGCAGGTGTGTCTTCCCTGAAAACCCTCTTTGATGAAATTAAGGCTGTTACATCCTTAGGGAAAGAGACAAAAGAGAAACTAACAAGAATTAAGCAGTGGTCCCATCTGGGAGGCCTGACAATAGGTCTTTTTAAAAACAAAGTGTGTCTCATATTTACGATGAGAGAAGTATTATGCCGCTTTGACAGGTACATTCTTAAGAGACGAGCCTGTGTCACACTTAAGTCACATACAGCATAGAGCCAGCTGCGAAAGTCAGTCGGTATTCTGTTTTCACCCTTACTCCCAAATTTCATTCCCCTTGTCTGCATGTTAACCCTCAAACGCCCAGGAAACTTCCAAAATGAAATAATAGCTATTCTCCTTTGCTGGACTTTTTTTTTTTTTGGGGGGGGGGGAGGAGAATAAAGGAGGGAAGGGTTAGAGTAGAAGATGATAATGGGAAAAATAAATTTTTTTGTAATGCAAGAGCCAAAAGCTCTGGAGACAATGGTTAACCAGGAAAAGTATGCCTTTTCCCATGAGTCACACACCAAAACAACAGAGGGGATCTGGGAGTTGTGGAAGGTCAATGGGAAGACAAGTGCTGCCTGGTGAAGAGCCCCTTGGCCCATGCTGAGCAAGCACAGCTCCGCCCTAAGACACCCTAGGACTGATCCAGGCCCGCAGGGCTGTGCCAGGCGACAGGTCTTACCACGAGGCCTCAGCTTAAACCAACTGTGTGGCTGCACAAAGCAGGGCTTGTTTGTAAAAGGAGAGAGTCTGTGGAACGGAATCAAGCTATTCTCTCCTTACCTTCGCGGGGCCGGGAAGCTGCTAAAAGCATCAACACAGGATGTGAGTACACAGCTGGGATGACAAAGCCCCAGTGATTTTTTTCAAGGTCTCTGGAAATGCACCAAGGCATGAAAGACAAGTATTCCCCTTGCAACGCCTGCTTTTGTAGTGGCTCAAACACCTCTGGATTGGACTCTCTGCCCTCCCTGTGTAATTGGAAATAGCAGTGACTTAATAACCATCAGAGGTACGTGACTCCCATCTCAGGAAAGTACTTTTAAACACATCCTCAAGTAAGATGAGCGGTATTTGTCTTCTCACGTTGTCGGTCTCCAGTGGTTGTTTTCTTGGAGGCTCTGGCAGAGGCTCAGTTGCAGAGGAAGGAAGGTCTCTCTTCCAGAGCAGGGGGATTCTGCCCGCTAATGAGGAAGCAACAACAGAGAGTGGAAACAGACCCATCTTACCTTCCTGGTTACAGCTGGGTCCAGATAGCCTTTGAGCTTTAGAATGTATGTATGGGGAGGATTCTTCACCTGGAATCGTTCCTGCAGGAAGCACAAAAGTAAAAAGCATGAAAGGTAGGAAGGCATGCATGGCACAGCCTTATCAAGCAGATTAATGTTACAGATCCATGACACAATGCATCCACACTATGAGCGTGGCCCTGCACATGGTCATTCATTATGTACTACTTGTTTTGAATCCTGATGGTAGATGAAGTGACCCTCTCTTTGTACAGGAGGAAAACTGAAGCTCAGAGAAATGCAGTACTTTACTCGGATGACATAGCTAGTCAGTGGTACAAGAGGATTCTAACCCATGTCTGCCCAACTCAAGAGTCTATACTGCTTTCTCTGTAGGAGTCTATATTGCTTTCTCTCATTCTAGAACAGTGCTTTCCCCAATACCTGTTTCAGGTCCTTTGATCAGTCTAAAAGTCATTGCTGGAGGACTGAGGTTGGGGAAGGGTTATGGTCAGAAAGGGAAACTCAGAGCACTCCTAAGAGGCCAGCAATGTTCTGTTTCTTGATCTGAGCAGTAGTTATCTATACAAAAGTGCTGGCTTTATACGACTTAATATGCTGGTTCTTAGGTTTCACAACCTTTCTGTATATATGCTATATATGCAAAAACAAGATTAAATCAGCCCTAGAAGAAAAAAAACAGTCATCAAGAAATGAGGACAATGTTCTTTTCAACCTATAACTTAAAAGATGTTTTCTTACTTTTTAATTCTTTTCAATCTGATTATTGCTTACTTCACGATGGAACTTTTTGGTATTTCACAACACTGACAATTGGTTGGCATGTTTAAGCATTTGTTTATCCCACATAAACTTGTATTTCTACAACACAGGGAACCATAACATTCTTCCTGGTCCACCGAAGCTCTGATTACAGATTTATAAATGCTAATGATCATCCTACTAATATTGAAAAGATCACCTTATTATTGAAAGTATGTATCTTATTATTGTTCAATATTTTAAAATAGGGAGAAGTGGTTTGTAATGAGACCTCTATTAATATTTCCCCTTTACTTAAAATGATCAGGGTGAATTTTGTAGTACATAAACTATATCTGGATAAAGCTGCTTTAAGAAAAGATCAGCATACTGTGTCTCATTATTCCTCTAAATTTTCTATCCTGAGAGCAATTTCTAAATAATAATTTACAAGTATTCGACATCTCCAATGCCATCACTGTCTGTGTTTTTTTTTTTTTAATTTATTTTAATCACCACCACTTCACTAAGGAATCACAATCCTACTGCCATGGGGATTTAGCAAGAGTACAGCTGAAGGCTAAAATAATCACAGAAACCTCTGAAAAATGAACTATCTACAACCAGTCATTGTTTCCAACCTTGTGTACAACAATAGCTGATGCCAGGGAGATATTAGGATATAAATGAAAATTATGCTTTTTAATCACACAATTCCAATTATTCAAATTTTTAAAAATCCTACACCCAATGACAACTCAAACTGTACTCCCTTCTGCTACAGCAAATACCGCCTATCTCTAAATATAATCTCTAACACATGAAACTCAACAAATTATGACTCTGGCCAATACAGTATTTGCTTGAGATCCTAAAATTTGAACCTGTCAACAATTGTTGAGAGATCTATAATTTTTTATTCTTTTAGGCTACATCTTCACAACAGAAGGACCAGATTTATTTATTTTTTGAGTAACAAAATGTGGTTGAGTAGCACATGTAACACATGAGCATTTGCTCAATTAGCCAATCCTATTTTTGAAAGTGATAAATGCAGTTTTCCCCATTTCCTACTCGAGATTGTGGAAACTCAGAAGAAGGGATTTCTCAAATATCCACACTTATCAGTCCTGTTGACTTGATTATATTTCCTTAGTCTAAATTTAATAAACTCATACTTTATCAAATTTGCTTAGAATTTGCTGTTGTGTATTAGGCACACTTTTCACTTATTTGAGCAACTTGCTGATGTACTTTGAAGAAAGAAAAAACAAAGCCTGATGTTTTAAAATACTACTGGGGTCCACATTATACCTACTTATATGAAAACTCAGCCAATATCCAGGAATTCAAATAAAACTGTTATGGAGAAAGAATCCAAACCCCAATTATTCTTGTAAAACTTGGGGTTGTTTGGTCTAATATTTAGAGGAGCCACAATTTGAGTTACAAATCCAACACCTGACTCACCAAACCTCTTCTGTGTGTCCTCAACATAGCCAATTTGGACAACAGAATCACTTGGGAGAATGAATTGGAGAATTTCAGCACCTTGCCAAAACACATTTATTTTGAAGGACTTCAGATTAATTATAGGTATCACTTATTTAAATTGATTTAAGTTATTTTCCCTAAATACTAGAACTTTGTATTTTACATTAAAATCCCAAACTGCCTTGGTTGGCAGTTTTCCATCATCCTCACTTTCAGAACGATTTCATATCCCACATGCTGTTTTCAATAACTAGTTACTTACTTGCACAACATCGCTGATATGAGTATCTTAATGTCCTCAAACTGAGTTACCTTGTATAGAAATGTTATTCTTACAGACAAAAAAATATTTAGTCACACTGATTTCTCAATACGAATTGATAAGCTATCTAAAAGAGCTTTTTAAAACACAAATCTCCTTCAGAATGTCTAATTACACAGCATCACCACCGCCCGGACCTACTGCCATTTACCTCTTTGTGTGATCAAACTTTCTTTGTGAAATGTTTCCAGATGGAAAATATCAATTGCTCTGGAGTTTTCATTCATTCGCCATAAGCAGTCAATGAACAGAACTCAAAGTCATTTATGAACATTCAGGTACACTAGGCCAACACACTGCACTGGAAGTGGTTTGGGAGGAAGGAGTGAGTGAGAACAAAACTTTAGAGTTATAGAATCTTCATTAAGTTTCTGTGACATTTACAAGTATTTTGCTTTAATAAATTAGTCCATTAGGAATTCAATTCTATTCAGTATATCTCTCTGGTAATGATCAGAAAATTTCTTCTGTTAAAAGCAACTTCATTTATGCAAAAACACAATTACCTTTTCAGGTTCACATAGGGGAAACACTTTTGTTTCTCAAAGATTATTAACTTATCATTCAATGTTCTTTAGACCTCTTAGCTCAGTCAGTCCTCCACATCTGGCAAATAGATATTAATTCCATTTTGTAAATAAGGCAACTGAGGCTCAGAGATTAAATGACCTGCCTCAAAGTGTGTATATATGTGTGTATCTATATACACACATGCACATGACATCAAAGATTCAAACACAGGTTTTCTGATTCTTAAACTGATCCTTATTCTTTTCACAATATTGTAATAAAGCATTCTCATCTTTAATTTGCTAGTGTAAAAGTTTTCAAAAGGGTAGAAATATGTTCTATTCTTCATTGAGTCCCAGTATCTAGAAGAATACTTGGCACGAGGTCAGTCCTCAAAAACATTCAAAGTATAAACTTTTTTTAAAATGTCATATACAAGTTACTTTTCTCATAAATTAAGGGTAGGTTTTTAAAGTTTAAAGTTTAAAAGTACACAGAGAAACTATACATGGCATACACCCAGCAGGTTCAGTGTTGGATATAAGTCAGCCAAATTCATCTCAGAGCAAGAGGCATTAGATGATGAGCCTGTGCTGTCTCTCTCGGGCCTCCGAAACTGTCTAGCCTCTTTCATGATTACACATTTTTATTAACCCAATCCACTGACGCTTATGCTAGCCCTCCACCCCCACCCCTTCCCCTGCTGGTCACCAGGAAGGTTTGGCCGCCTACACAAAGACCTGCCCTGCAGATAAGGAAAAGACAAAACAGTTACGGGCTCCATTTAATGACTAAATCTACCATAACCCCAATTGGAAAACCAGTACATTTTGAAAAGAACTAAATGAACGGGCTGTGCCAGGGTTCACTAAGTTAATTAGCTAAGTCACAGCAAACAGAATGCATTGGCTATGCTACAACATGGCCTTTTCTGTTCCACACACACAGGCAGCCTTGGGTTCTCTCTAACAGCTGAACTGCTTCTGTGAGCCTTCCCCTCCCTACACGTCTCCCTTCCCTTTCTCCATTTAAATCTAATAAAGTTTGTCGCTGAAAGCCCTTCTGAATAAAGATTTGGAATTGGACACTCATCTAGTGAAGCATTTCTGATCTTTCACATCCTCTCTATCCATGTGTATAGTTACATGAGAAATTAATTGAGGTTAATTTGGTGTGAGCTGGACTTATAACAAGCATGTTATAAGCACTTCAGGCTCCATAAATCGTACTTAGAGAAGCAGCTCCAAAATCAAACAGAATTCGAGTTTATCTTACACCTAATATTCTGAAGTGTAAGGAAAGAAACTATACTGTGACAGCTGAAAATAGAGGAAATCTCTAGAAAATGAATGGCTCTTGGGGCACATACTTACTGTTGAGTTTCTCTCCCTGTTTGGGATGGCCACATGGTCACTGGCTCCCTTTCAGTGGTGTCTTAGAGTCACTTAAACTGCGTAAACATCTTTAGGGATGAATTAGATGCCACCACCATTATGCCAGTATTAATGTTTTATTATTCTGATCCTGTAATAATTCACTTACATAGTGAAAATTCAAAGCTTTTGTTCACATAAGCTCACTATACTTGAATGTTTTTCTTCCTAGAAGTAGGAAATAATTGGGCACCCTTTCCAAAGGCTGAGTAGGCAAACTGTAGTCTCTGAACGAGCCAATATTACAACCAGCACTATTGCCATTAGTAAGTACTAATCTGCAAAATTTAGCTTGGTGCTACATGCTCTTCGGAGTTTAGTTGACAGGAATAATCCATATCCTCAAGGGGTTTGCCCTCTAAAATGGATAATGCTGACACAAGTAGACAGGGAGAAGAAAAGACAAGGATGTAACATTGCATTAGTATTGTATACAGACAGAAATGACTTACACGTTTTAAGAGAGGCCAAGAACAGTACACGTGTGGTGGAGGGAGTGGTGCCAAGAGATCAGGGTCCCTAAGCAGGTGGCACTGAGCTAAGTCATAGCATCTTAGCCC